GAGAGCCGGGGACGGCCCGCCTCCAGGCTGCAGGCACCGGGTCCTCAGGCTCCCGCCCCGGGGACCGGGGGAAACCGAGGCAACCCCGCCGTGCGGCGCGGCGCGGCGGTGCTTTGCTCTTCTTCCGGGTGTCTCCAGCCGCCCGCTTAAGTTAGAGTAGAGAACCCAGGGTCCCGGGAGCCGCGCTTTCCCGTTCAGGCGGGGCTTGTTAATAACGGAGGCAGGTTTCTGGTGGCTGGGCTTCTTTCTAGACGCGGTCGCCTACGTGCTGGCCGCCTTAGTTCGGCCCGAGACAGGGCCTCCCAACCTGGCCTTTATGGTCGAGGCTGGCTTCGAACACGGCTTGTGATAGTGGCCTTTTTGTTTTTGTTGTTGTTGGTTTGGTTTTTCGAGACAGGATTTCTCTGTATAGCCTTGGCTGTCCTGGAACTTGGGGTTGGTGGTTTGGTCTGGTCGCCATGCGGTGGAGGGGCGCCGCGCATTTGAGCCCAGCACTTGGGCGGCAGAGGCAGGTGGATCTCTGAATTCAAGGCCAGAGCGAATTCCAGGACAGCCAAGGCTACTCAAAGAAAAACCCTGTCTCGAGGGAGGAAAAATAAAAACGAACAGAAAGCTCTATATTGCGGGGTAAGGTAGCACACACCTTTAATCCCAGCTACTCTCCCGGGAGGCAGAAGCAGGTCTATCTCTCTCTGCTACCTACACAGCGAGTTCCCGGCCAGCAAGTCCCAATAGTGAGACATTATTGTTTTTATTTATGTGTGTGTGCCTCTGGAAGGTTACGTTCACCGTCTGCGTGCAGGTGCCTGAAGAGGCCAGAGGGGTCAGATCTGGAACTGCAGTTAGAGGCTGTTGCGGGGGCCAGGGACTGGCCCTGTGTCCTATAAAAGAGCAGCCATCTCTCCAGCCTAGCGTTAGCTTTGGAGGGTGTTTGCTTGTGTGAGAAAGGCTCATGCTGTATTCCCAACTGGTCTTAAACTGTGTGTGATTCAGTTTGGCCTAGAATAAGCAGTACTGTAGCCTTGAAAACAATTGAGCCACAAGTCTTCAAGGGCCTCTTGACATCTCAGGCCATTTCAGCACCTGTGATAAGAGTTTGTATAGTATTTATGTTCTCAAAATGCGTTTACCCCAAGACTTTGTTGCCAATGGATATTTTGTTTAAAAGCCAGTTGCCCCTCCCCTGCTTTACAATGTACACTTACCGTTTCATCTCCATTATAATGTAGCTAAGTGGGAGAGTGTTTGCCTAGCATGCTTCATCCTCAGCTCCTGGAAACAACTGGACATCCCAAAGTTGATGTGGCAGCTCCTGAATAGTGTCTGCAGTTCTTGATTGCTTGGTCTACAGGACTGGGATAGTACCTATCCACAGTAGATGGTAGTCAGGTCAGAAAACAAAACAAAAAACCCTGGCATGTTGTCAGTGAATTTCCAATTCTCACATAGGATGACGCCTCCAGTTTCCTGTGCCTCTGTTGCCCTGTCTCTGTAGCTGAGGTGGAGTGGTTCTCTGAGGATATTTCTTTAGCCATTATTTCATCAGTTCTAATTAGATACATCTAAGTAAGCAGGTGGTTTTGTTACAGTGTTAAATGTGAAGACATTAGTGCTGTGTAGGGAAGGGATGTGCTCGACTTCCTGGGACTTATGGTCTGGTGGAGAGACAGAAAAACAGCAATTACATTACTGTGGTAGGTGTTGCAAGAAGGCCAGCTTGATCTATAGAGTTCTAGGACAACCAAAGCTACACAGAAACCCTGTCTTGGAAAACCAAAACTACTGGGGTGTACAGTCAGCCTCTAGCCTAGTCTAGGGAAGGTCATCACGTTGGTTTGCCTGGAGAGGAAGTTATAGAAGCCAGCTTCAGGAGGAGGAAGGGGAGATAGTGTTTGTAGCATAGGAAACAGCATGTATGCGAGCCTCAAGGTGAGGTGAAGCAAGCCAGCCACATCTGAGGATCTGGAAGATTCACTGTGACTAACAGTTGTGGGAATGATGGGTAAGGGGGGCTCCTTGACCCCAAACTTACCACATAGTTACTGTTCACTCATGACGGTCAGTCTCTGCTGGCCACTGAGTACATATTAGCCTAAGCTTAAAACTGAGAGAAACAGGCAGGCTGGTAAACACAGCTCATTGTTAAATAATGTAGAGAGATGTGCCAGACAAGGAGCCCTTTAAGATAGATAGGGATGGTGGCGGGAGTGTGTTGTTGGAACAGAGGCCTGTGAAATAAAAGAACAGGGCTTTTGGTTAAAACAGCCCTGGCTTCAGGTGTTTCGAAGTGTACTGTAAGATCCACAGTAAATAACAATCTGAGTAAAATACGGCATCCAGGAGGTGGCATGTGACCTGCTCTTAGGAGCTGGGAGGAGCTCAGTTGTACAGTGCTTGGATGACCCTAGCTGTGGCCTCCAGCAGTACCACAAAAAACCAAAGTTCTTATCTTGGAATCTCACTTAGGAAATCTCTGTTTGCAGAATTTGTTAACCACCTTGCCTTGGGCTAGGGGTATAGCTTAGATAGTTCCCTACTCCTTAGAGGCCCTGGGTGTGATAGCAATTTCTGTATAAAGCTGCTGGGGTGGGGAGGTGGAGATGGATGATCAGAAGCTCCAGAAAGGTCATCCTCTTAGATAGCAAGTTTGAGGCCAACCTGGACTCCAGGAGATCCTGTCATAGGGGAAAGTACCTTGCCTTTCCCGTGCCAGCAATTCATAGCCTGCTGTGACCTCTCAGTTCCCAGAAGTATGATGTTCGTGTTCCTTATCGTGTTGGTTCTTAGTAATGATGCAGTTGAAGCTGCTTTTCATAGATCCTCTGTGATTGTGCCCTACTTGCTACTATCTCATGACAGCTGCTGCTTGGGGCTTGATGTATTTTTATACAAAATGTGTATATATAACATTTATTGTGTTTTAAAAATGTTATTTTAAAAAGCAGAATTTGAGCCAAGCATGGTAGAAGGATTGCCTTTTAGCCAGCCTGGCTTCAGGACCTGCCTCAGAAACAAAGATAAAACAAAGCAACCACCACCACAACAAAGCCAGCCAGACTTAATTTTTAGGAACAGCCAAGAAAAGGTGAACCAAGAATATTGCTGGGCATGGAAAGATGGCTCAGCAGTTCAGAGCACTGACTGCTCTTCCATAGGTCTCAGTTCAGTTCCCAGAGCCCACATGGCAGCTCACAACTATCTGTAACTCTCATTCCAGGGGTCTAACACCCTCGCACAGACATACATCCAGGCAAAAACATCAATGCGCAGAACATAAAAATAATTTTTTTTTAAAAGTGTATTTGCAGTTGATAATGTCAGTAAAACAGAACAGGTCCTGTTTATGGCTTACAATGTTTATAGTTACAAACTATAAACTTATTTAAAAAATTTTAAATTTTATTTTTAATTTATGATTGTATTGCCTGCATGTATGTTTACTTTTATTGTTTGTTGAGACAGGGTCTTACTACACAGGCCTAGCTGGCATCTGATTGCCTCTGCCTCTGCCTTGACTAAAGGAAGATACCACCATGCCTGGCCTTTTCTCTTTTAACAAAAACATTTTATTTTTAAAATTTTTATGTACATGGATGTTCTGCCTGCATGTGTCCCTGTGGAGACCAGAAGAGCCTCAGATGCTCTGGGACTGGAGTTTTCACATTGTGAATGGGTGTTGGGAATTGAACTCAGGTCCTCTGGAAGAGCTGCCAGTGTTCTTAACCCACTAATCCAACCCTCTAGCCTGTGGTTAAGGTTTCTTAACCTTTTGCTTCCTTATATATTTTTGGTGTTGAGGGGAGCTAATGTCATACTTAAGAGGAGAAAAAAATTAAAATCATTCATAGAGGAGGTGGTTTTTCAATGACTAACAATAGTTTACACCTGGAGAGTAAGCATGAATTTGTTTTCTTAGACATGGTGGTACATTTCCTTAAATCCCAGCATTCAGCACACTAGGGCCAGGTTAGAGACACACACACACACACACAAAAACCTGGCTAGCATGAATATGGAGAGATGTTCAACATCATTAATCAGTGAGAAATGAAAACCAAAACACAGTAAGATACCACCTTGTTATTACTGTAGCTTAAGTTCTAATGTTCTGGTAGGAATGATTATGCTTTGTGTTGCCAACCTGGAAAGTGGTGGTGCACACCTTTAATCCCAGCATTTGGGAGGCAGGGGTAGGAGGGTTTCTGAGTTTAAGGCCAGCCTGGTCTACAGAGCTAGTTCCAAGAAACCAGAGCTACACGGAGAAACCCTGTTGTGAAGAAAAGAAAAAAAAAAATCAGTGTTGCTACAGTACCCAGGGTGTCAACAGAAGAGTCAAGTGATCTAGTGTTCCCTTGTGGAACACATAACAAGAATGTGAAGCGCTTTTTGTTTTGTTCTTTTAAGACAGGGTTTTTGGTGTGTGTGTGTGTGTGTGTGTGTGTGTGTGTGTGTGTGTGTGTGTGTGTTAAAGATTTATTTACTTATTATTTATACAGTGTTCTGCCTGCATGTATCCTGCAGGCCATAAGAGGGCACCAGATCTCATTATAGATGGTTGTGAGCCACCATGTGGTTGCTGGGAATTGAACTTATTCCTTATTAGGACCTATTGGAAGAGCAGCCAGTGCTCTTAACCTTTGAGCCATCTCTCCAGCCCAAGACAAGGGTTTCTCTGTAGTCTTGGCTGTCCTGGAATTTACTATGTAGACCAGGCTAGCTTCAAACTCCAGAATCCACCTTTGAGGCCATGCCTGGCTAAAGCAGGTCTTGAAGAGGTAGTTGTGAATTCATATTTATAACAGAGCTATTCACAGCAGTCAGGAGGCTGAAGCGACCCAAGTGTTGACCAGCACAGGGAGGGATAAGCAGTGTGGGGTGTACATTCCAGGGAGTGTTACCAGATTGAAACTGTGAAAATCCTGACATGAGCTAGGTGTGGATGGATTGGGCTTCTTGTGCCAAAAGAGGTAAAGCGGCCACAAAGACACACTAACTTTCCTGTGGAAGTGTCTAGAGTAGTAGGCACTGAGAAGAACAGTAGTTACTGGGGCTCGTGGAGGAAAGGAGGAAAAGGACAGTTACTTAACAGATAGAGAAAACTGAATGTAGTCAACACAACTGTCCATTTAAAATGGTAAGATAAAGCCAGGTGTGGTGGCACAGGCTCTTAATCCCATCACTTGGAGGCAGAGGCAGGCAGATCTCTGTGAGTTCAAAGACAGTCTGGTCTACAGAGCGAGATTCAGGACAGCCAAGCCCTGTCTCGGGGAAGAAAACAAAACAAAATGATAAGCTGGGCATGGTGACAAATTCCTTTAATCCCAGCACTAGGGAGGTAGAAAAAGGCAGATCACTGAGTTCAAGGACAGCCTGGTCTACATAGTGAGTTCCAGGACAGGTAGGGCTAGATAGACCCTGTCTACAAACTCCCAAGATATGTAAAATAAATAAAAATGATTAAGGTGAGAAAATTTCCTCTGTATTTTATACAACTAAATTGTTTTTAAAAGACATACTTTGTATACAGTATTCTGCCTGCATGTATCCTGCAGGCCATAAGAGGGCACCAGATCTCATTATAGATGGTTGTGAGCCACCATGTGGTTGCTGGGAATTGAACTCAAGACCTCTAGAAGAACAGCCAGTGATTGTAACCTCTGAGCCATCTCTCCAGCCCCATGACTAAAGTTTTTAGGACTGGAGAGATGGGTTGGTGCTTAAGAGCACTGACTGCTCTTTCCAGCAACTGGTTTAATTCCCAGCACCCACATGGAGCACACAACCATCTGTAACTCCAGTCCCAGGGAATCCAGTACCCTCTTCTTGTAGCATGAATCTTAAAGAGTCTTATTAATAAAATCAAACCTGAAGCCAGGTATTGGGGTGAATGCTAGAAGATCAGAGAAGCAGAACAAGCCACAGCCACCTCATCTCGCCAGTTCCTCAGCTGATCTTGTTTCCTCAGACTGGAAGCCTCTGAGTCCTCATCCAGAATGGATCTCAGCTGAACTGGTGCTCAGAGCCTAAAAGCTTAACCAGGCCAAAAGCTTCTAGTTCCTGGTCCTCACGCCTTATATACCTTTCTGCTATCTGCCATCACTTCCTGGGATTAAAGGCGTGAGTCTCCATTGCCTGGCTGTTTCCAGTGTGGCTTTGAACTCACAGAGATTCCAGAGGATTTCTGCCTCTGGAATGTTAGGAAGGTGTGGGTGCCACCATTTTCTAGCCTCTGTATCTAGTGGCTGTTCCGTTCTCTAACCCCAGAGAAGTTTATTAGGGTGCACAGTATTTTGGGGAACACAGTATCACCACACTCTTCTGCCGTCCTGGGATACCAGGCAAACACATGGCATACAGACACATGGAAGCAAAACACCCATGCTCATATTTAAAAAAAAAAGATTGAAACAACTGTTTGAAAAGCATGGACAGGGCTGGAGAGATGGCTCAGAGGTTAAGAGCACTGACTGCTCTTCCAGAGGTCCTGAGTTCAGTTCCCAGCAACTACGTGGTGGCTCACAATCATCAGTAATGAGATCTGGTGCCCTCTTCTGGCATGCAGTCATACATGCTGATACATAACAAACAAACAAACAAACAAACAAACAAATAAATAGCAGGGACAACTAGGTACCCGCTTTTTAGCATCACTGACATTCAGCTGAAGTTTCAGCCTCCCTCTCTTTCTCTCTCTCTTTCTTTGTGTGTGTATATATATATATATATATATATATATATATATATACATACATATATATATTCATCCTTTCTCAAATCAGAAATGTTTTTTTCTTGTTTTTTCTGCCTTCTTTTTCCTTTTCCTCATCTCTCTCCTTTCTCCTCTATTTTTGAGAGGGTCCAGTCCCCGCCCTACCCCCAGGGTGGCCCCCCCTTCCAGGATTAAAGGCGTGCGCCACCACTGCCCAGCAAGATAGGGTCTTGACTGTGTAGCCTGGCTAGCCTGGAACTCTATGTAGCCCTACTTAAAACCACAGGCTAGTTTGTGTTGGGAGGTGCTAAGGCTAGTGCCCAGACCTCATGCACACCTGCAGATAAGTTCACTCCAGTCCTGCATGTGACCATAGAGACCGAAATCCTGAGTCTTTTACCGGACACGGAGACGGAGGCAGTCTCATTGGGTAGTCCTGGCTGGCTCCAGAGAACTACTTCCTGAGTTCTGGGATTAAGTTGAGCACCATCACCTGGTGGTTGGGCACACCTTTAATCCCAGAACTCGGGAGGCAGAGGCAGGTGAGAATCTCTGAGTTTGAGGCCAGCCTGGTCTACAGAGCAAGTTCCAAGACAGCTAAAGATACAAAGAGAAACCCTGCCTCAAAAACAAAACAAAAAAGTCAAGCACCAACATGGCCTGCCCGTTAGTTTTATTAGCCTGTTAGTAAATTATCTTTATGAAGCTATGCATACAATTAGAGACTCTACCCTAGATTGGAGAAAGATCTTCTCCTGTTGATAAGAAGACTCAAGTATCTATAAACATAGTCTGGCATTTCTGAATTTTAAAACGTCAAAGAATACTTTCAACTGTAGCCACTGGTTTTCTTCCGTAGGGCAACTAACTGACCAATCGTCATATGGCTGCAGTAGTTGCTAATTCTGTAGCATTTTAACCGGCTCTTTTCCTTTCAGTTGATTATGGAAGATTCCCACAAGAGTAACACTCCAGAGACTGCACCTCAGCCTGGTTCAACAGTTCAGGGAACTCACATTTCTCAGATAGCCCATCAGGTAAGTCAAGAACTAGCCAGAGTACTGGGCTGATCAGTAGTGTTCACAAATTAACATGTTGTCTTACTACCAATGTTCAGAAAACCCAGCACAGAGAGACTTTGAAATGATGCCCTTAAGAAGGGAGAGGGAGGGAGGGAGGGACTGAAACACCTTTGGAAAGGAAGACCTTTTTTTTCACCCATTTTTTTGGGAAAGATGCAGGCTGACCTGAAATTTACTATGTAGACCAGGCTGGCCTCCAACTCACAGAGATCTGCCTGCTTTCTCCCTGTGTTAGAATTAAAGGTGTGAACCACTCTGCCTAGCAGGGCCTGGAATTCTTGATCATCCTCTTCTAGCCTAGTACCAGAGTACTAACATTAAGGTCCTAGAATAATAGGCATATGCCCAGCTTGGATCATCATTTTACCAAGTTCATTATGGATGTATTGAAATTTTTTTTTTTTTTTCATGATGAGCATATTCATTAGAGAATTTAGTTTAATTGACTAACATGTGTTCAGACTAGAAATGTCAATTTAGGAGTTATAAATATAAATTTTAATTTTGTTTGTTTGTTTTTTGAGGCAGGGTTTCTCTGTGTACCTTTGTGCCTTTCCTGGGACTCACTTGGTAGCCCAGGCTGGCCTCCCGAGTACTGGGATTAAAGGCGTGCACCACTACCGCCTGGCTTATAAATATAAATTTTAATATAAATTAAAGTCATGGGGCAATTTCTGATTTCTGCCTAGGGCATAGAAAGCTGAAAAGAGCATGGCAGTGGTGGCACACACCTTTAATCCCAGTACTGGGAAGCACGTGCCTTTAATCCAAGGAAGTGAAGACAGGGCGGAGAAAGGTATATAAGGCCTGAGGGAACAGAAACTAAAGCAGTTCAGCTGAGACCCTTTTGGATGAGGACTCAGCGTTTCAGTCAGAGGATTCGTGGAGTTGGTGAGGTAATGGGTGATGGCTGTAACTTGCTCTGATTCTCTGATTTTTCAGCTTTCACTCCAATATCTGGCCCCAGGGTTTTATTATAAGACAATTAGAAATTCGAACAACAAAGAGTAAGTTCCGTATTATACAGGCAACTGGCTTTTGAGACCACAGAAGTCAAAGGTGGCTGTCATACTTGGAGGGGAGGAAAAGTCAACGACCCTTTTTTTTTTCCTTTTGGTTTGTTGAGACAGAACAATTTCTCTGTGTAGCTTTGGCTGTCCTGGAACTCACTCTGTAGACCAGGCTGGCCTTGAACTCACAGAGATCCTCCTGCCTCTGCCTCCCACATGCTGGGATTAAAGGGGTGCCAGGCAAGTCAACTACATTTTAAGACAAGGTCTCACATAGCTTAGGCTAGTCTCAAATTCACTGTATAGTGAAGGGTGGCCTTGAACTCCTGATCTTTCTACCTCTGCCTTAGTACCTGCTTGGATTACAGGTGTATGTTATTCCTTTCCTAGCTATCAGCTACATTTTAAAGTTATTTATTCTTTTATCTTTTTGGGTGTTCGGAATACATATGCCATAACACATGATTTGGGGTAGATAGCATATATAAACAAACAGCAGAGGAATTGCAGAAGAGGGAGTTGGATGCTACATAAGACTGCTAGAAATAAAAATAGCATAAATTAAGTGGTGTTAGGGCTTATTAGATTTGACATGGTTGAAGAAAGAACCAGTGAACTTGAAGACAGACTAGTTAGTAGAAAGCACCCAAATGGAAAAGAGAAAGAAAAGGAGAAAAGCAGACTAGAGCATCCAGGAACTATGGGGCAGGGTCTGTTTCAGTAGTCTTGATGTTGGTGAGGTTGCCAAGGTGTGAGTCTAGTCGGGTGAGGTCACTGGATGTGACTTTTGGTTTCACTTCAGAGTAAACGTCCTTTTTGCCTTCTAGTCGGTGTGTTGGTGCTACTGATAAAGATGCTGACCTGTCTTCTGGGTCCAGGGAGGCCGTGGGGCGCCATAGGGAGGAAATAGAGGTCAGAACACAGGAATGAGGTAGAATGTGTTTACTGCCAGTCAGTGGTAATGAACTAACTAGATATCAAGTAAGATGTCCTGATGTTTCCTTGTCTGTTGTTACATTTCAAGACAGGGTTTCTGTGTAGTCCTGGCATTCCCTTTGTAGACCAGGCTGGCTTCGAACCACCTGCCTCTGCTTCCTGAGCACTGGGATTAAAGGCGTGTACCACCCCACCCCACCCCCCAGTGGTATCTTGAATCTTAAAACCAGGTTATATATTGATCAATGGATGTGCTGAGAAGATCCCACATTTCCCTAGGAGTAGTGGTTCATTGTGTGTGATAACTACTACAGACAGGAATAGTCTGTTTAGCAGCAGCTTCACTGAAAGCCTTGACAAGAACGATTTCATTGGATGTAGGCATGAAAATCAAATTTGAACCAAGAAGGCATAGGAAGAGAAGAAAAATGCATAGACAAAAATTCTAGAATGAATAAATAGCTCCCTCGAGTTTATTTTTAAAAATAAGTTTGTGTGTATGTGTGCATACCTTTGAATTCATGTACACTGTGTGTGTGCATGGGCCCGAGGAGGCCAGAGGACATTGGATCCCTTGGAACAGTGGCTATAGGTGATTGTGAGCCACCATGTAGGTGCTAGAAACTGAGCCTCAATCTTCTGCAAGAGCAGTGAGGACTTGTAGTCCCTGTGCCACGTCTCTAGCCCTGAGAAGTTGTTTTGTTTCTTTTGGTTTTTCAAGACAGGGTTTCTCTGTGTAGCTCTGGCTGTCCTAGAACTCATCCTATAGACCAGGCTGACCTCAACTCAGAGTTGGAGTTTTTGTTTTTTAAGGAGGAATTCAGAGATGTTTTCTTTGTTTTTTGTGTGGTTTTGATCAGGGTCTCACTGTGTAGCTCTTGCTGTCCTGCGATCTGTCCTACAGACAGCTGGCCTCAGTCTGCCTCCGATTGCTGGGTCAAAGGCAAGCTCATGCCTAGCTCAGTTTTTTTAAGTTAGATTTCAGGTTAACGTCAAGTAGTGGGTCTCATTGTGGCCTTTTCTTCCACGTGTGTGTGTCATTATACTTCATTCTCGTGTGTTCCCCTCCGCCGCTGTCCCGTGCCATGCCCCCACTTCTGCCTGGTTCCCTCCTCCCCCACTTAGTCTCCTCTCTAGCTTTCTTATCCCTCTCTAGAACTTGCTTAAGATCTCTTCCTGCCCTCTTGTGGTCTCCATTCTAGACACTCCAACCCCCACTCTTTCTATCTCTGTCTCATTTTCAGTGTGTCTGTCTGTCTGTCTCTGTCTCTTAAATGTAGTCTCTGCATATGAGAGAAAACACATTTTTCTGAGTCTGATACTTTTGCTTGTATGATTTCTAGTTTCACCCATTTTCCTGTAAAGGTCCTGCCTTCATTTTCTTTATGGCTGAATAAAATTGTATTGTGTGTATATACATGTACTACATTTTCTTCATTCTCTGCTGGTGGGCATGTAGGCTGGTTCAACCTTGTACTTATTGTGAACAGCGCGTGCAGCAGTAATGTGCATGTGGTATGTTGACTGGAGTCCTTCCAATATACAGCCAGGAATAGAATGGCTCGGTCATATGGTAGTTTTATTTTTAGTTTTTTGAGAAACCTCCATACTGGCTGCACCCGTTTTTATGTCGTGTAAGTGTTAGATGTTCTGTTATGTGAATAATGTCATCGACATTGAGATAGGAACGTCACTGGCCTCCAGGTTGCTCTTGTAGTATCACATTCGCACCTTGTTGGTTCTGCTGATCCATGGCAGGAAATGCTCTCTCCATCTTTTGAAGCTTACATTGTACTCTTTAGTTAGGTTTATTTCTGGGCCTTTTATTTATCATTTGAAGCTATTGTGAAATGGGTTGTTTCTTTCTTTCTCTGCATGTTAGTTACTAGTGTATAGAACAGTTACTGATTTTTGTGTTAGTTTTGTGTCCTGTTGCAGAAAGTGTGTCAGATCTAAGTTTTCTGGTGGAGTTGTGAAGTTGGTTCTTGGTTCTTTGGTTTTGGTTTTTTGGGGTTTTTTGTTTGTTTTTTGGTTTTTCAAGACAGGGTTTCTCTGTGTAGACCAGCCTGGCTTGGAACTCACTTTGTAGACCAGGCTGGCCTCGAACTCACAGATATCCGCCTGCCTCTGCCTCCAGAGTGCTAGTATTAAAGGCTTGCGCTACCACTGCCTGGCCTATTAAGGTCTTTAAGAATAGGATCAGGCTGGCCAGTTGACTCAGCCAGTTAAAGTACTTTCCCATTCAAGCCTGATGATCTGGATTTGATGGGAAAGATAAGTTAATGTGGGTAGGTTGTGAGCTGCAGTGTGGGTGCTGAGAACTGATCTGAGCTCCTGCAAGAGCATTGTGTGCTCAGACTGCAGGGTGATTTTCCAGCCCCTGCTGCCTCCCTCCTGGTTGGTCGCCTGTGACTTCTGCTGCTGCTGCTGGAAGGATTTTATGTGGCTGTAGGCCAGAGGTGAAGAGCTGGGTATCTTTGGTTTTTTGAGACAGGGTTTCTCTGTGTAGCTTTGCGCCTTTCCTGAAACTCACTTGGTAGCCCAGGCTGGCCTCGAACTCACGGAGATCCACCTGGCTCTGCCTCCCCAGTGCTGGGATTAAAGGCCTGCTGCTCCTCCTCCACCACCACCATCACCATCGGCTTGCAGGGTATCTTAATTGACCTCTACCTTATTTGAGAGAGGGTTTCTGATTAAACCTGGAACTCACTTATGTGTTTATACTGGCTGTCTAGACAGGGATCCTGACTCCACTTTCCTTCCCATCAGTGGAATTACAGGCACATGCCAGCACACCCAGCTTTCTTAGACAGTGCTAGGGTCAAACTCAGGGCCACAGCAAGAGCAGCGCCACTCCAATGCAGCCCCTGCTTTTTTCTTTGTTGTATTCCTCGTTCATGTGCTAGATTGTTAATCAATTCAGTTCCTGAACTGATTTTTTTTTTACTTCATTCATCTGCTTTTTTTGTATCCTCTTTGAAACCATCATTTTAACGATTTTAGTATCAT